GTATCACCTGAAATGGTGAAAAGACCAGGATAATGTTAGATCCAGGAAGGATGCCAAGTCCTTAGGATCTAACCAAGATCCAGAACTTACTTAGCTCTCGGTTCAATACCTTAGATTGCTATGCTCGGAATCTTAACTTTATTTTAATTTATTAGAATCTAATAAATTGTTAGCATTTAAATAAACAACATTTAAATCTTTTCTTTAAAAGATTTTATTTGTTTATTTTAGAGAGAGAGAGAGAGAGAGTACAAGCAGGGAGAGCGGCAGGCAGAGGGAGAAGCAGGTTCCCCCCTGAGCAAGTAGTCTGATGCAGGACTTGATCCCAGGACCCTGGGATCATGACCTGAGCCAAAGGCAGACACTTAACTCCCTGAACCACCCAGGTGTCCCACAACATTTAAATCTCTTAACAGAACTAAAAATTTTGTTTTCCTAAGGGTACTGTTTTCTCATAAAAGAAGCAGAAAAGATTTATCTGTGACAAACATTATGCCTGGCAGGGAGGAAGGACTGGCATTTTCTTACACTATCCCCAGGAGTGCAAATTGGTATAGCCTTTTGGATGACGATCTATTAAGACTTTGAACTGGATGTGTCCTTTGTTCTAGCAGATAATACTTGCACAAGATTTTTAAAGATATATTCATTTGTTCACCCTGCAAAGTCCTGGGAATATGCTATTAAATGAAACAGACATGATTCCTCCCTGATAGAGCTCATAGTCAAGAGGTGGAGAAAGGCAAATTAAGCAATCCAACTAAGAAAAAGCAGCTGACACATGGTCCTAAGCCTGATAGGCAAAGCAAATTGGGATGACTGATAAAAAGATAATGAGGAAAAGAGTGTCCAAGTGTGGGGAATCAGAAGGAGAGACCTCACTGAGAAGGTCGAAGAAGCTACCACCTGATGAGTGAGAAGAAGCCAGCCAGGGAGAAAGAAACTGAGTGAAGGTCTAAGGCAGAAAAAGAGCTGAGGGTTTCTGGAGAACAAAAGTAGACACGTGACAGGGATGGAGTGTGGGATGTGGTTGGAAAGGAAAGCAGAGTTGATCAGGCAGTTCCTTGTAGGCCTTGCCAGGCAGTGCTGCTTCTGTTCTAAGTACGCTGGAAGCCACGATCCTTTTACAGGTAGCAGTCAGGGTGCCGAGTGAGGGGTGGACTGGGCAAGAGAAGAGAAAGGTGCAAGAGCTCAGTCATTGTCCCACTGCCTGGTCTACATTAGAGATGTTAGGAATCTGGCTAGTGCAAAAGCCCATAGATGCAGAACCTGATGGATTCCGAATACATTTTGCAAATAGATCCCACCTAGTCACTTTGATCTCCAGCAAACCACAAGAACCAAATCAAAGATATTCCTAAAGAATGTTGGAGTAAGCATGATGTGCATTTTAAAAATTCCTCCTTCATGCTTATTACCTGACAAAAATACTCCCAGAAAAGCAATTGCCTAATCAGATTAAATCGAAGCAAAAAGATATTGACCCTAGTTTGCAGCTTATATAAAAGTTTTTTAGATTTGCAGTCACCCATAATCACCCTTCTGAAGTTTGGGCTTCAATCAATATATGATAAAAACTACACAAATCTTTTTAAAGAAATAATTCCAGGAATTGCAGAAACATGGTGAATCATGTTACACACCATCTAATAGAAAACTGGATTAACAGCTCTATTTTCACTAATTATTAAAGTGCAGACTCTTCTCTGCTGATGTACAATTATTACATTCTCTGACATTTCTGCATGCCTTCAGGTATGATTGTAATGGAAGAGGTCTGATTTCCATTACCTTGAACAACCAAGGGTGATGGGTCACAACTTTTGCAGGCTATTTCAAGATGTATGTATAATCTTGTTAACGCATGATTTGTGGAAGTAGTATCTTAATTCATGGATTTTGGATATTCAAGAACGATTAAATACAAGAAAGTAGTGTCTGACATATAAAATATAATACACACATGTTTCCAGTCAAAACAAACAAAAAACCAGTGAAGGCTTGCCAGTGAAGGCAAAGTCTCATTAACATTCTCTACTTGGTGAATAATAGAACTGCTATAGATAATAAGTGTTTAGAAACATCACAAAAACCTCAGATGCTACCGCCCACTTGAATAAATATTCATTCTTATTGCTTCATTCCTTATGCCGTGGTTCAATTTTTAGCAAACTAAGTAATGGTTTCTTTAGCTTTATAACCTGTGATGTGTCCTACTGTCCAACTGTTATATTTTCAATATGGTGCATCAGTTGAGCCACAATATACACATACAACGGAGCTCCCTTCTAATGCTTATGATTATTATGGTTATGATCCTCATTTCTATTTCAGCCTCTGGAGTAAGAGCCAGTTTTAAGTTGGGTTTAGGTTTCCAAAGCCATTATTCAGAGAGTAATAACATAACCACTCAACAGAAACCACTGGAAAATACTCCCTTCTTTCCTTTTCACAAACAAATGAAATGGCAAGTGAAAACACTGCTTAGTCCAAAGGCATTATGCAAATGCCCTCCCTTGCAGAAGTAACCTCCACTACCTTCTCATCACCATGTAAATCAGGCCCCAACAACATGTTTTATTACCTTACTGAAGTCTCAAATCCTCCAAACAAAAGGAAGTGTTGCCTTAAAATATTGTCAAGAGCACATGGAAGATCAGAGAGCACTGCCTGCCTGTAGAATGCACAGTGGGATTTGTCGTGGATTTCTACAATCCTCCCTGACTGGGACAAGTAGCTGGAGCCAGGCTGCAATAGGCTAAGTCTGGTATATATCTTCCTACAAGGATGCCCACAACTTTTACATACCACCTGATCAATAATCTGTAACTGGTATTTTAAAATACAAAAGTAAAATACTTCCTTACCAGTGTTCAGGTAGGGAAGGAGTGGAAGCCCCTAATTAATTAAAGTTGTCAAAGAACTGGAATTTTAGAAAAGGTAAATCAGAACAAAGTAAACCATATCTAGAATCTAGATTCAATGCAACTTATGGGTATGCCTAGGAATATCATAATTCACTGTTATCTTTTTAATCTCTTTTGTCTTTATTTTTTTAAGATTTGTTTATTTGAGAGACAGACAGAGCATGAGCAGCAAGGAGGAGGCAGAGGGAGAGGGAGAAGCAGAATCCCCGCTGGGCGGGGGGTCAATCCCAGGACCCTAAGATCATGACCTGAGCCAAAGGCTAGCTGACTGAGACATCCAGGCACCCCTCTCTTTTGTCTTTAGTTCAATATTTTGAAGAATTCCAAGATATTAAAGTATGGGAAAGGAAAGAATTCATTAAATTTTTCTCTTCTTTCCTGCCCCAAAGTTTACAATGTTATTCATAAAAGGCTCTGCTCAGCTCTTCATTGTACCACAAAATTGTTACCATGTAACACATAAACAAATGGGCATGTCTATGTTCCAATAAAACTTTATTTACAAAAACTTTATTACAAAAACACAACATTTTTCTGGAGATGGATCTTGGTGATGATTGCACAGCAATGTGAGTATACCACTAATGCCACTCAGCTTTACACTTAAAAATGGTTAAAATAATCAATTTTGTTATGCATATTTTACCACAATTTAAAAAAAAACACAAGATTTTGCCCACAAGCTGTTTTTTCCCCTAACTTTTAGACTAGAAATAATTTCTGTCTAAAATACTCTGTGATTCATCAAAAACTAATGATGTACTATGTGTTGGCTAATTGAATTTAAATTTAAAAAAATTAAAAATAAAATAAAACACTCTTTGATTAAATGGTTTTCCTGAAACTAAAACGCTTCCAAAACCTGATGCATAAATACTTACAAAGATAAAATTGATCTTCTACCAAAACTTTCTTTAAATATTCTGGAATATTTAGGGGCGCCTGGGTGGCTCAGTCGTTAAGCATCTGCCTTCGGCTCAGGTCATGGTCCCAGGGTCCTGGAATCAAGTCCCACATCGGGCTCCCTGCTCAGCAGGAAGCCTGCTTCTCCCTCTCCCACTTCCCCTGCTTGTGTTCCCTCTCTCGCTGTGTTTCTCTCTGTCAAATAAATAAAATCTTTAAAATAAAATAAAATAAAATAAATATTCTAGAATGTTTAAAAGTGTTTTTAACTCTAGTGTTATAAGCAAACTAAAGTGGTGTTAGTAGATTTTCGCCTATCCCCTAACTTGGGTTGGTGTCCACATATTTAGAAGTGCATAATATATGGCAGCAAGAGGGTTGACTGCTCCAGAGGAAATGTTTTGAGTAATTAAAAGGGCACAAAGATAATCTCCTTCACTAGGCAACCTACTGTTTAACAAATTTATAAATGAAAAGGAATACAAGAAGAAAGATGTCATCTGATTATTATCAGGGATCTGGTTTTGCCCATGCATTATTTATATATTTCAAATATCCAAAGCACCATGTAACTGTTTACTCCAATTTTATCCCTAATTATCTTCCGTTATTTCTAATTATTTTTTATTGTTTTTCAATTATTTCTATTTTTTCCCCAAAACCTGTATTAAGAGTTGCTTAATGTGATGGTTCTCTTCTTCGAATTTGTATTACTTTCAATAAAATGTATTATTACTTCACACTGACACTTCGCTTAACTTTCAATCTGCCCACATATACTCAGACTAAAAACAAATGCTCTTCAACGAGTTAGGTTTTGGGGGATTTTGGTATGTTTTGTTTTGCTTTTCAGTTTTAACTGTAACCCTGAAGAAAAGCCAACTAGATTCTTTTTCAGTGTAGTCAGGACTAGCTTTGCACTTCCACACCATGATTAATTTATTATTCATCTGGGACCTTCCTATTAAACCTTGTCTTCAGCCTGTGAACTTTTCTTTCAGCCTCCAACAAAGGATTTCATTGCTTTTGGAATTGAGGTGTGTCTAAGTTTTTACCTGGGAGCAAAAATGATGCAAGCGTTTCTGGTGAGACCAATCCTTGGTTTAGGGTGGGGAAGAGCTGCATAACAGACCATCTGTAGACTCCAGAAAGCAGAGACGCTACCAAAGGGCTTTTCTTAGACATCATATGCAGACAGTTGGAAGGACTGAAGCAGCAGTTTCCTTGGATTTGTCCACCAGGGAAATCAGAGAAAATGACTTGGCTCCTTTTCAGAACATCAGGGGCTCTGGCTATTTTAATGGTAAGTCCAATTTTTTTTCAAATAATTGCAACTTTCCCTGTTTCCCTCCTTGTTTGATAATACTCTATTTGATTGCTGAATCCCTCTTATAAATTCTAAAAAGAGTGAAGTGGAAATAAACGTTTTGGAATAAAATCATAAAGATTACCAATTTCCTCCTTTGGGTGGTTTTTATTTTTTTTAAAGATTTTATTTATTTATTTGACAGAGAGAGACAGCGAGAGAGGGAACACAAGCAGGGCAAGTGGGAGAGGGAGAAGCAGGCTTCCCGCCTAGCAGGGAGCCCGATGTGGGGCTTGATCCCAGGACCCTGGGATCATGACCTGAGCCGAAGGCAGACGCTTAACAACTGAGCCACCCAGGCACCCCTTGGGTGGTTTTTAAATGTTGTATTTTACATCGAAAAATAAATCAGAGAGAAATAGAATTTGAAAGTCGACATTTAGCATTTCTTTAGTTAATGAATTAAATAATCCTGATCTTAGATCTATTTTCCACAATACCTTCACTTTCTTCAAAGTAATGTTTTATTCGTCTTTCCAATACACAAACTAAAACACATGAAAGAGAACCAGGTCTATTTTCCAAGGTTACATATCTCTTAAGCATATGCTAAGAGCTGTACGTGCCTGGTCTTGATACCTGACATGCTTTTAAAATAGACCGTTGAATTAAAATCAAAGCAATGTTTGACTCTAGAGAAGTTGAAAGAGTTATTAAGAAAACTATGTTTAGCCATTATGTGCAAAAAATATCCCAACTTTGGGGGAAAAAGACATATGACATTTTAGAAGCCATTTTTTTTTTTTTTATTCAGGAGAATAATACTTTGGTTGCTTGAGAAAGATTTATGTAATGTTATCCAAAAGAGAATTGGGACCTAAAGAGCTAAGCACTAGCCAGAATGTTACAGACTAGTTTGTTCCTTAACTATGTTGTTTTAGTGAAGGGGAAAAAAAAAAAAAAGCCACAATTTTATCAGTTACATTAGGATATCAAAATAGTGACATATACCATAAATGAATATTTTAAAAAATTCCTAATACTAATTCCCACTTCATAATAAACGGAGTTGGCCTAGGCACCAGTTTCCCTCACCTCCTCAACTAAAAAAATTGAGATGATAATTGGATTTCAAGAAGTTTCAGAGAGATAGATCTTTAGAAAGAACTTTCTAAAAATTAAAGGTGTCTAAAATTAGAATAGGCTGCCTTGTGAGCCAGAGTTTCCCAGCTTCCCCTCTCAGGACAATGTCCAAGCAGAAAATTGTTATCTTCCCTTATGCTAGAGTCTATTTTTATTAAACAATGAAACGAATTGTTTTGGTTATCTAATGAGTTTATTTGACCCAAGAATGTTGTCAAGAGAAATGAGATAGTTGTATGACGTTCCCACCTTCCCAGATGGTCATTTCCAGACTAAACCTCAGGTGGCCTGATAATCCACATGTCCAAACCAATGACCAACTCAGGAAAGGTGGCAGGGGGTGTCAGAAGGTGTCATAAGAACACAATTGGACCACCACAAGCATAGGAGAACTCTTTTCTCTGCTTTGACATAGACCATTCTCAAGTACCCCTCTGGTTCTACTAAGGGCTGTTTAAGATTGTTATACTAAAGGCTGTTTCATTCATCTTTATATCCCTAGTGCCTCCTATAATATCTCTCTTACAGTGGACTCACAGTTGTTTGAAAAATAAATAGATGAACAATTAAACAAGGCCTCTCTAAACTCTAACTTCCCACAGTGCCTCTATAATGCTGGTCATGAAGGAAATTATGAAAAGTAAGACATTTTCTTCCCCTTAGAAAAATTTTACACACACACACAAGCTATTTAAACAACAATATAACTTCATACATAATTATTAAGCTGAATGGTCCAATATGGCAGCCACTGGCCACATGTGGCTAATAACCACTTAAAATGTGGTTGGTCTAAACTGAGATGTGTTGTTAAGTATAAAATATACATCATATTTTTGAAGACTTTGTATGAAAAAAAGAATGTAAAATATCAACTTTTATGCTGAGTACAATTAAAATTACAGTATTTTGGATATATTGGATAAAAGATATATTGTTGAAATTAATTTCACCTTTTTAAATATATGAATATTAGGGGATGCCTGGGTGGCTCAGTCAGTTAAGCACCTGCCTTCGGGCTCCTTGCTCAGTGAGGAGCCTGCTTCTCCCTCAGCCTGCAGCTTCCCCTGCTTATGCTCTCTCTCTTTCTCTGACAAATAAATAAAATCTTTAAATAAATAAATATATATATGAATATTAGAGCATTTAAAATTATATATTTGGCTCGCATTTGTGGTTATTATATTTCTATCGAACAGTGCTTGTCTATTATTAATGCTGTTAGTGGAATGCAGTATCAGTCAAGAGTGAGGTCGGAAAACAAGGCTCCATGGACTAGGTGAGATTTGAGCTGTTTTCTGATTAGTATAGATGGGCCAAAGGGGGATATCCTATATCATCAGTTGTCAGACCAGCGTGAGCAAAGGAAAGCGCAATTACAGCATTTACCTAGGGGCAATGGACATACTGGTTTTGCTAGAATGACAGTTTGCACTGGACATGAGTTGGAAAGGTAGGTTAGGGTCAGATTGAAAACCATACTCCATGAAGGCTAATGGAATCCTTTTAGAAGCAGGAGCCACCCCAAGTTTTGAAATAGTGTGGTAAGGGAAAAAAAAAAACAAGTTTTTTAAAGGCACTGTGGAGTGAGAATGTACATCTTTTGTTGTCGAAGGGTGAGGTCTGAAAGTTGGAAGACATAATTGGAGATGTTGAATTAATTCCACCATCCTATGACCATAGGAGGTTGCCTAGAGAAGTGAGAAATGATAGCAAAGTCACAGGCTTCAGTCTATGCCTGTATGACTGACTCACTCCAGGCTTTGTTTCCTCAACTGTCATACGACAATAATCACAGTACTCTGCCTCAGTAAGAATAAAGAAGCAACATGTATGTTGGGACACCTGAGTGGCTCAGTCAGTTAAGCATCTGACTCTTGGTTTCAGCACAGGTCATGATCTCAGGTTCATGAGATCAAGCCCTGCATCGGGTTCCCCTTTCAGTGGGAAGTCTGCTTCGTTCCCACTCCCTCTGCCCCTCCCCATGCTCCCATTCTCTCTCTCTCTTTCTCTCTCTCAAATAAATAAATAAATCACTTATTAAAAAAAGCAGCAACACGTGCAAACAAGTGCTCTGGAAAATATAAAGTGCTTTGTAATACTCCTATCATTTGCAATGTTTACATTACTAATACAAGTGATTCTTGGTAACTTCTTAAAAGTCTGCCTTACTATTTTAAATGACCACCAACACCAGTTTTGATAAGTCAAGAAAGGATCTACATTTTTCTTTAGTGAAAGAGCATATCAAACTATATCTTACATTTGTATAATAGTGGGTGTGAAAAAACAACATTTTCAAACTTGGAGCATTACTCAAAATTTCAACTGTCCAGTCTTTTAATTATTTGAGAGGTGAAGGCATGGGGAACACCTGCCTATAGTCAAAGAAAACTGTAATAATTATCAGTTTCCTGTGCATGTTTGATCCATTTCACAAACACGAAATAAACATTTGGGGGGAAAATTTGTGATTGGAAAATACTTATCTTCGGAGATTTAACCTTTTTAAAATAATGTCTATCCTCCAAGGAGACCACTGTTCAGTGTTTTATAGTCCACAAAATCTGCAACACAGTTTGTCATGTAACACTTCTATTAGTACCTGGACAGTAAACTATTTAATTTCATACTTACTATATTATGTAAAAATTTACTCACTACAAAGCTAACATCAATGTTGGAAATCCAAAGATTTTTAAAGCACAAAGTTTTAAAGAAATTAGTAGTGTTGGTGCAGAGAAAAAGACAGTAGTTTAAATATCAGGTTCTGCATTAGAATGTGTTCTAAACATAGCAGAACTATCTTCACCCACCTTCTTCTATAGAACATATAAAAAGTAAAATTTTAGAAAAAATAATTGTAAGTAAATGACCCCAATTTTTTCTATTGAAATGTAATTGATATACAATATACAATATCCTATTAACTTCGGGTGTGATTCAATATTTTATGCATTACAAAATGATCTCCATGATGAGTCTCAATACCATATGAAGTTCTTACAACATAACTGACTATATTCCTTATGCTGTACATTACATTCCCATGACATATTCATTTTATAACCGGAAGTCTATACCTCTTAATACCCTTCATCTATTTCACCTGTCTCCTAACCCCTCCTCTCTCTGGTAATCAACAGGTTGTTCTCTTTATCTATAAGTCTCTTTCAGTTTTATTTTGTCTGTTTATTTGTTTTGCTTTTTAGATTCCACATATAAGTGAAATCACGTGGTATTTGTCTTTGACTTATTTCACTTAGCGTAATACCTTCTAGGTACATCTTTGTTGTCACAAATAGCAAGATTTCATTCTTTTTATGGCTGAGTAATATTCCATTGTGTGTGCATGTGTGTGTGTGTCATATATACGTTATATATGTATATACCACATCTTCTTTATCCATTCATCTATTGATGGACACTTAGGTTGATTCTATAGCTTCGTTATTGTAAATAATGCTGCAATGAATATAGCAGTGCATTTATCTCTTCAAACTGATGTTTTCATTTTCCTTGGATAAATGTACGGAAATGGAATTGCTGAATCATACAGTAGTTCTATTTTTAATTTTTTGAAAAATGTTCACACTGTTTTCCATAGTAGTTGTACCAATTTATATTCCCACCAACATGAAGGTTTCCTTTTCCCCACATCCTTGCCAACTCTTGTCATTTTTTGTCTTTTTTATTACAGCCAGTCTGATGTGTGTGAGGTGTGAGATAATATCTCATGCGTTTCCCTGATGATTAGTGATGTTGAGCATCTTTTCATGCCTGTTGGCTATCTGGATGTCTTGCAAAATGTCTATTCAAACCTTCATGTTTTTTAATTGGGTTTTTTCTTATACTAAGTTGAGTCAGTTCTTTATATATTTTTTGTATTAACTCCTTATCAGATACATGACTTACAAATGTCCTCCTGCACCCAGTAAGCTGACTTTTTGTTTCACTGGTGGTTTCCTGTGCTGTGCAAAAGCTTTTTAGTTTGATGTAGTTCCACTTATTTTAGTTTTTGTTGCCCTGACCTGAGGAGACTGCTTCAAAAAAATATTGCTAAGACCAATGTCAAAGAGCTCACTGCCTATGTTTTCTTCTAGGAGTTTTATGTTTTCAGTTCTCACATTCAAGTCTTTAATCTATTTGAATTTATTTTTGTATATGATGTACATTGGTGGTCCAGTTTCATTCTTTTGCGTATAGCTGTCCAATTTTCCCCACACCATTTATGAAAGAGACTGTCTTTTCCACATTGCATATTCTTGCCTCCTTCATTATGGAGTGATTGAACATACATGTGTGGGTTTGTTTCTGGGCTCTATTCTATTCAGTTGATCTATGTGTCTGTTTTTATGCTCATACCATACTGTTTACTATAGTTGGTAGTACAGTTTGCAATCAGGGAGCGTGACAGCTCCAGCTTTGTTCTTCTTCCTCAAGATTGCTTTGGCTATTTGGGGTCTTTTGTGGTTCCATAGAAATTCTAGAATTCTTTGTTCTAGTTCTGTGAAAAATGTAAGTGGCCCAAATTTTTAACAGAAGGAACATCTTTGAGGTATCTTTCCTTCTCTTAATTGATGAAACAATCCGGCTTCCAGAAGGAACATCTTTGAGGTATCTTTCCTTCTCTTCTCCGGCTTCCAGTGCTAATAAATATGTGAAAATAAGTTTGCTCCTGAACCTCTCCAAAAGTTAAGATTCTAAATTCAGAATAAACTTTCCAAGCAATTCTGGCCAGTCCTGCCTGACTTGTCAAGAAGCATTTGCTTCCAAGCAAATGTCAAGAAAGATGTAATTACATCTACCAATTACCACTCCCACTTGCTTAATACCTGAAACTGGTTTCCATTTGGAGCCAGAACACTTAGTGTCCCATGTGGTTTCTCATAAACCTCTTAGCCTTTGGCTCTTCCTTTCCAGTTAAGTCAGTCTGATAGCCTAAGGTAAGGGTTTGTTTTGGGAAGTTCATCACAAGAAAATTATATGGGCAACTGGTTACTATCCATAATTACACTATAAATAATTTAATGCATCTAATATGCACACTTTTCTTACTTTGGTCACTGCACAGTTGGCTAGACTAAACACTGCACAACTCCAGGAGACACATTCACATAAACTACAATGTGAACAGTACCCCCTGAAGTTGTGCAAGGAGGAACTCAAACAACTATACAGTGGAACACTGGTTCTTGACTCTTCCTGATGCTCAAGAAAGAGAAAGTTCTTATGTGCCTTGATGGGAATAATAATTATAAAAGGTCACGTCATGGTAAAATGACTCTCTTACACCTTTTATTAAAGTTTGGTGACTGTGCTCTCTTCGGCAGCACATATATTAAAGTCTGGTGACAGAAATAATTAACACTTGGTAAGCACCTACTATGGACTAGGGCTCATCTATGTGCTTTAGACTTACTAATTCATTTAATCCTCACAATAAACCTATAAAGTAAGTAGAATTATTATCCCTATTTTACAGATGAGGAAACTGAAAGATTAAGTAATGTTCTCAAGTTATGCAACCAGTAAATGGTGAGACTGGGATATAAATTCAAGATTCAAGATCTGGTGTCCAATTTTATATTACTACACTTGACTGTATCTTACACAGCATTTAAAATAAGCATTTGAGAATATCCAATTTGTTGAGAATATGAGATATTGAGAATATGTTCATTCTCCATAGTTTAGAATTTGTCCTTTCTTTGCTTCCCAGGAAAACAGAAATTATGCCTTAATGTCTATTAGAAGAATCCTTCTCCGTGGGGCTAGTGCAAACATGATTCATATTTTCTGGATGACTCTTTCCAGTTTTCCTGTAAAGGGAAGGGTGCCTGGCCCAACCCTCCCCTCATGTATAGCTGAGTCGTCCTTACAAAGTGAGAAATTAGTGCAATTTACGACAGTGCTCAGGCCTTCTCTCCCAAGTAACTCATGATAATGTTTAATGAAGAGAAGCAAAGCTGTAAAATCACTTTGAGACATGTTATAACCATATGCAATGGTCCCTTTGCACGACAATTTGCAGACCCTTTGAAATAAGGATTTCAATGGAATTTTTAGAATGCAAGGGTCCTGGCATCCTATATCTGTTGTAGTTACTTCTTTGGTTCAGAGTTCTACCTGCCTCTTTATTATAGCCTTCCGAAGTAAACAATGTAATAAATCTACATGTTTTCAGCAGTAACCTCCACCGTTGCCAGGAAGAAATCTAAATTGACTATCATATGACTTTCTTTCTACCACTAGTTTTTTCTATTTATTTATGCCAACTTTGGCTAAAATCTAATGATGATGTACACACTTTGGAGTCAGGCTGCAAAGGTTCAAATCCTGGCTCAACTAGGGCTGTTGGGGGAGGCAAAGTACTCATTGTCTCCTGGCTCCATTTCTTCATCCATGAAATAGACTATAATAATAGTATCTCCATCAGCTGGCTACTATAAGTATTAAACGAGATAATAAATATAAATAGCAACTGACACAAAAACCATAATAAACTTTAACTACTAATATTACTCTAATTCTTTTTCTTCTGATTTATTTTTCACAACCTTTTCCTTACCAGATTGTCTTCACATCAGATAATCGGCAGGTCAGCAAATATTTGTTAAATATCTGCTGGGGAAAAAGTTATGACAATTGCGAGAAAAAAATAACAGAAACACTGATCCAGAAAGTTTACAATTCTCTTGGCTTAACATCATAATGTACATAAAACAATGAGAAATAGTAAATCATGGTAAACCCTTATGGGTTAAACTGCATGGTACAAAACACGTGTTGAAAAAACTCAGAAGAGAAGACACCAGTAAGGACAGTTTCGTGGCAATTGTTGGAACTTGAACTGATTATAAAGGATGAGCAATATTTAAGTGGGTAAAGGGGAGATATCACCTTACCAGTTAGAATGGCTAAAATCAAAATGACAAGTAATAAAAAGTGTTGGCAAAGATGTGGGGGGGAAAAAACCCTTGTACACTGTTGGTGGGAATTGAAATTGGTACAGCCTCTATGGAAAACAGTATGGAGGTTCCTCAAAAAATTAAAAACAGAATTACCATATGATCCAATAATTCCACTAGTGGATATTTACCCAAAGAAAACAAAACACGATCATGCATCCCTATACTTACTTCTGCATTGTTTATAACAGCCAAGATATGGAAGCAACCTAAGGGTCCATCTACAGATGAATGGATAAGGAAGATGTAATGGAATATTATGCAGCCATAAAAAGGCTGAGATCATGACATCTGAGACAACATGGATGGACCTAGAGGGTATTATGCTAAGCGAAATAAGTCAGACTGAAAAAGCCCAATACCATATGATTCCACTCATAAGTGGAATCCAAAAGAAAAAGAAAAGGAAAGGAAAGGACAAACAAAAAGTAGAATCAGACCTATCAATACAGAGAACAAACTGATGGTTGCCAGAGGAGAGAATGGTGGGGGGTTGAGCAAAATGAGTGAAGGGGGGGTGGAAGATACAGGCTTCCAGGTATGGAATGAATAAGTCACAGGAATAGAAGGCACAGCATAAGGAATAGTCAGTAATATTTTAATAGCAATGTAACAAGACACATGGCAGCTACACCTGTGGTGAACATAGCATAATGCATAAACTTGTCAAATCACTAAGTTGTACACCTGAAACTAATATAACATTGTGTGTCAACTATACTCAAATTAAAAAAAAAAAAATGCATTCCAAGTAGGAAACAAGATGGAAAGCGACACAAATGAAGATCCCATATGTTCTTGAGAAAGTAAAGAACCTAGACTGCCTGACTTCATTTTATCCTCATTTAATTTTTTCAGATCAGTGAAAATTAAGCTCAACATTTAAAGTGAAATAACAGGTTAGGGATTAGCAGGTCCATGTCCCACATAAACAGTACTTGTGATTGGAATAACGTATCCCCAACTTTTATGTTCCACTCTCTAGACCCGACTAGTTCTATTCTATCCTCTCCACTGTCAGACAACTAAGAAAGTGCAGCTAACTAATAGCTTATCACAATGATGCTCACCACTGTTTCCCAAAGCAATATCTCCCATGGTTCTTAGAAAGTCTTTATGGAACAGCCAAGTAAAATATGTCTGGTTGCTGCAAAACTGGCTGTTAGGCACAGTTTTGCATAATTCAGTAGATTCTTTTGTATACCATTAAAACTCTGTAGTCAGATTAAAAAACTGGAAGAACTTATTTATATTGAGAGTATTTTCTTTTTCCTGAGAGGATTTTACCCTTTGAATACTGCTTCCCCAAATTCACTTCTTTTGAAATAGAAACAAGCTACAATATGAACAGGATTATCTTATGCAATTACTTATTTGAAGAATTCACTTTTAACTTGACTTTATTTAAATGCCTACAGGTGCTCATATTGGTTCATGGAGAACTGCGAATCGAGGTAAAGTATGAAAAAGTTTTTTGTAACTAAAATAATAGTTCAGTTCGAAAAATTAAAGTTGTATTGGGGAAAAATAAATATTTTTTAATGTTTAAAACTATTAAATAATTGTGAAAATAAAATTAAAACTAACCCAATTTTAAATACCAAGAATGTATAAATGTCATTATTATACTTCATCTCATGCATTCTTTCTTCTTATTTTAAACAAATCAACAGCTTTTTAGTAAACAGGTCCTATGTGCCCAGAGCAGTGAGATATTGTGGAATATATAAAGGAAATATAAAATATGATTCAATGACAATATTAAAAATCATATGGTTCTGTAATTATTTTAAATATTTAATGTTCCTTCTTTGCTTGACAAAGTGTGAGGTCAAGCAAAGTAGACATTCAACAGTCCTAGATACCATGAAACACAAGGGCCTCTCAACCTAGGTGTTGATAAGCAATACTCAAAGCAAAAATTTCCAGCAATGCACATAATAAAATGGGATACCTTTTCACATAAGACAAAGGGTCAACACGGAGAAGATGATACTGCAGTACAAGGCAAAAGGAGATACAAGCGTGAATGGGTGAAATTTGCAAAACCCTGCAGAGAAAGAGAAGACAACTCGAAAAGAAATCCAATTGCCAAAGTAAGTCATATCAGCAGGGGCAAGGTGAGGTTTTAGAATAAATGTAATAGATGTAAATTAAAATGATATGGCAACTCCATTTATCAAAATGTAGACTGGGGAATGCACAGAACAAATAACCTAGGATCTTCAACCAAAAAAATACAATAATAATAATAATAATAATATAGAGTGAGATGAAGGAACTATGGCTTCTAGAGTAATAAAAAATAATTAAGAGACAGGTGAACCAACTTCAATGAATACGCCTTAGTTAGATCTGGATTCTAGCAAACAAATAGAAAAAAATATATGGGTAAGACAATAAGATAAGTGGTTGGGGGTCCATGTATTCATAATGATTAAAACTGGGTGATGAGATATATCAGGTTCATTATACTAACCTAACTTTATATATATTTGAAATTTTCCATATTAAAAAGCTTGAAAATTATAATAAAAATAAAATAATAATAAATAATGAGCAATTTATTTTAATAATTATTTTTTTAAAGATTTTATTTATTTATTTGAGAGAAAGAATGAGAGAGAGAGAGCACATGAGAGAGGGGAGGGTCGGAGGGAGAAGCAGACTCCCTGCTGAGCAGGGAGCCCGATGTGGGACTCGATCCCGCGACTCCAGGATCATGACCTGAGCCGAAGGCAGTCGCTTAACCAACTGAGCCACCCAGGCGCCCCTATTTTAATAATTATTTTTAACACTTACTGTATAATCCCTTTCCCCTTTTTCTCTCCAGCTTCCCCTACTTAAACTAAAATAAATGTCTTTTTCAAAAAAATGTTCTCTGTTAAGGAAAAGAGCATCCAGAAGTAGTCTTGTCAATATTAAGTATCCACAACCTTCTCTCAACATTTTAACATCACCATGGTGGCCATAACCTGGGCAAACATTCTAGAGCCAAAATGATTAATGCGTATTGGTCCATGCTGGTCAATAGAAGCAACAGTTTGAAATACCTCACATTCCCAGTATTCATTAAGGCAAAAGTAACCATCACAGGGTCAGAAAGAGTGAATAAAATAAACAGAAGACTTAAGACTACGAAGGTAGAGACAAGGGGAAGGAAAAGGTCTGATTGATGATCATATTCACATTTTGGGTATTTGGGGCTGCAGATTACTTCAGATTTCCAAGCAACCCAGAAAATTACCTACCGAATTTCTGGAATGGGAATTGATCAACCCCCTTTTGGAATCTTTGTTGTTGACAAAAATACTGGAGAAATTAACATAACAGCCATAGTTGATCGTGAGGAAACTCCAAGCTTCCTGGTAAGTTTGTGTCCTCAAGATTGGGCACCCTTGTTTGTGCCCAGTGGCTTTACAATGTGATACTCTTCTACTGGTTAATTTAGAAGAAAGATCAGTGCACGAATCAATCTACCAACAAATAACAATTTTCGGCATTCTTTTAAAGAGTCTTCACTTACAGTTGTGCCCCTGAAGGAATATACCACGAGGGTGCAGGAGTAGGCATTGAAATCCAACAGGCATCCTGAAAGAGCATCACCCTTTTTGTACCATAAGACAGTACCAGCCTGGAAGAAGGGGCAGCTTGCCTAACAGGCCTGCCCAGTGTGGGCACCTTTTCTTCCTTTATCTACTTTTTGGGGAAACATTTTCCTTCTGTGCACAAAAAGTCTGTACATGCTAGTAGAGCCTTATTTCTACAAGTTTTAGTAATATGCAAACTGAGTCTGTAGAGTAATAAATAACAATTCCCTCCTTTTTCCAGATCACGTGTTATGCTCTAAATGCCCTAGGACAAAATGTAGAGAAACCACTTATATTAACAGTTAAAATTTTAGATGTCAATGACAATCCTCCAGTATTTTCACAAAGTATATTCATGGGTGAAATTGAAGAAAATAGTGCTTCAAGTAAGTCTTTTACATTATCTACCACTTCTAATTTTTTTTTATTTTAAAATACAGGTATCACTATAGTATATCATTTTTAGAAGCTAATTTATTCTCCTAGTTTTATCAGTAGTTTTGCAGAAAATTCATCCAAATAACCTGGGTCTTCCTTTCTAATATTTGTACTTGAGCTAATTATCCACTGCCATTGCATTTCTAGGTCATGGTCCTGTTATCAAGTCAATAGTATCTTACTCTCTATATATAAGTCACATGAGTACCTGGTAGTCATAAAACTAAAGGGGTGGCCTTAGGTAGCCTGGGTGCATCAGCTAGACTTTTTTAGATTATAAAGGACAGAGACACACTCAATTACTTGGATAATTTGGGGAAAAGGGAGAATGACAATGCCACCCATCAAGGGAAGAAATAAAGACAGAAAATAGTCTCAACTCCAACACAACCAAGGCTTAAGGACAACAGGAAGATTTTTACAGAAGGCAGCACAGTTCCACCTGATTAAGAGACAAGTAAGAGATGTTGCAAATGACATGTAATTCATGTTTGTGCATAACAGACAGATTTAAGATTTTAAAAAACAAAGGTCAATTTGAAATTGTATTGAATATTTAATGTGAAAAGAATGCCAATTCTTACATAATCTTTAATGAGCTTCTTCTGTATTTCTAGACTCACTGGTGATGATATTAAATGCCACAGACGCAGATGAACCAAACCACTTGAACTCTAAAATTGCCTTCAAAATTGTCTCTCAGGAACCTGCAGGCATACCCATGTTCCTCCTAAGCAGACACACTGGGGAAGTCCGTACTTTAACCAATTCTCTTGATCGAGAGGTAAAGCAACGCACTTGGGAACATTCAATAATAAGATTTGATTGTAAGAAAGCTGAGAGAGGTGACCCCATTTTACCTGAGAATGAAAGGAGGAAGGAAAAGAAGTTCTCCATACTCAACTGGGCCAATCTAGGGAAACTGTTTACATTTCAGTATGATTCTGGTGGGGTGAGAGGTGTACCTGAGAACTGTACAATCAATTGTACCCTAAACAAACAAGTATCAGCATATCAGTGGGAGGTCAAGTGGAGAGCAAAAGAAAGCATCGAGGCATACATAGACAAAGCCTGAACTGTGACTAATCCCTTATTTGGTGGAGGAAAAGGAAATTTCTCAGACAATGGAAGAAATTTCTCTCTGGAATAAAGCCTTCTCTGATGTTACACTTTTTCTACTAACCAGTTTTAATGTTACCCTTGCTTCCAGAACGCTAAAGAATTCTCTTTTTCTCTTCCCCATTGTCCTACCACCATAACTACCATCCCCACCACCACCATTTTATCACTCTACAATACCCTGTCAGACTTTATATTACTTCTATGCAAATGATCCTCCAAAAAGACCAATAGGAAAGCTCTGTAAGTAAACTTCCCTCAAATAAGCATCCCATCATCCTCACTGCCCGTTTTTGCTCCAAGTGTACTTTCTTGCCCTAAGAAGCTCACAAAAAAAGAAACCTGGTCTAGCCCCATAAAAATGTGTCCAACTATCCAGGACCCCAGATGCCTCCTCTAGGCTGGACAATGAACAACTCATATGATCCTTCTAGAGAAGAATATTTTCACCTCTTTACCCATAGGAAGCAGGTAGTTGTTATTTGTATTCCTGGCACTGGAGATTAATTATTTTTCTTTATTTTTCTCCAAATTTAGCAAGTTAGCAGCTATCGTCTGGTTGTGAGTGGTGCCGACAAAGATGGAGAAGGACTATCAACTCAATGTGAATGTAGTATCAAAGTGAAAGATGTTAATGATAATTTCCCAATGTTCAGAGAATCTCAGGTACACCCTGCCTTCCTTGAGGAATAATTTATATATGTATTTTTTAGCTTATATTTTGCCATTCTAATTTAGTATTTGCCTGTTCCTGGCTTCTATTTAAGTTTTCTGCACTTCTCTTAAAAAAAAAAATAAGCTTTTGTCAAATATAAGAATTTAGTGACTAGCAAGAGGCAACACATAATTTGAGAATTAATGGTTAATGCTATTCAGAATAAAATATAACCTCTTTAGATAAAACCTGACAATAACTCTCAAATTCTGCTTCTCTCCTTTTAAGTATTCAGCACATATTGAAGAAAATACTTTAAATTCTGAGTTGCTTCGATTTCAAGTTATAGATTGGGATGAAGAATTCACAGATAATTGGCTTGCAGTGTATTTCTTTACCTCTGGAAATGAAGGGAATTGGTTTGAAATACAAACTGATCCCAGAACTAATGAAGGCATCCTGAAGGTGGTTAAGGTAAAGCCTATTTCCCTTCCATGGTAAAAATATTCCATATTGGCCCAAACTATCATTTCTACAAATAAACTTTATTCACTTATTCATAATAATACCACTTCTTTACAGAAAACTTAGAAAATACATAGAAGTAGATAGAATTTTTCAAAGACACACAGATAGCCCCACTACCTAAGGACAGCTTTTTCAAACATGTTGATTTATTTCCTTCCAAGCTACCCTACTTTCTATAGTAAACACAAATACACTAATATACATATATTTATAGGTGTGCTTGCTTTAAGCACAAGAATGTAAAACACATTTCTCAATCTCATTTACTCTCTACAACTGAAGTTAGGAAAAGGTAAGAATACATGATATTGCGGCTTGTGAAACTGTCATGTTGCTTTAAGTGAATTTAGTTACAGTCATAAGGGGGGGAATGCAACTATTTGAAAATGGGAATGTATAATTAAATCTGCAGTATAAGGGGCGCCTGGGTGACTCAGTCATTAAGTGTCTGTCTTCGGCTCAGGTCATGATCTCAGGGTCCTGGGATGGAGCCCCACATCGGGCTCCCTGCTCAGCGGGAAGCCTGCTTCTCCCTTTCCCACTCCCCCTGCTTGTGTTCCCTCTCTCGCTGTGTCTCTCTCTGTCAAATAAATAAAAATCTTTAAAAAAAAAATCTGCAATATAAAAAAGAGGAATTGAGTAATCCTTGCATTTAACATGCATGGCTATAACAGACACTCCCCCATACACAGAATCCTATCTGGAATAACATAAGGATATTTCTGCCTGGACCCTGTATAGACTAGAAAAAATAACCACTACTTGAAGACATTCTTTGGCACAGGACACTGGACTATACGCAACCTTCTTTCTTTATTTCCTTGACTCCAGCTGAGTGACAGACCCATAATATCCCCTTAACAAGGAAATTGCTCGAATCCCCGATTGCTGGAAGCTATGCAAGCAGTCCCTATTACTCTGCTTTTCAGAGAGAAGGCTATAACCATCACTTGCAAGGGTGTGTTATAAACTCCCAGCAATCCCTGAAAATGAAGCCTTCCCTCTCTCCTGTCTTGGTGTCATCTAGTCTTCCAAACTAGCAACCAGGGCCTTATCCTTTAATCATAACATTTCCTCACAACAAACAGTCATCCAATTCTGCCCTGGAAACTGTCCTTAAAGTCTAGCCCTGGTCTTCCTTTCTATGGCCTGTGGTCTACTGGGCCTTGCCTCCTTGCTCCTAGATGACTATAATCTCTCCTGACGGCTGTCCTTACCTCCTCTTTCTACTTCCCTACATCCTCCTACTGCCACCAGGCTACTGCCATGTTTTCCTTAAAACCAATGGGGATTACTCTGTTCTTTAAAACCTTCCTTTCCTTGTTCTCCACTGGCTGTGAAAGTGGCCCTCCAGTCTTATTGCTCATTTGCATCCCCAGCAACTTTTCCTCACCAGTGGGAATATAGGAACTATTGGTTCAGCTGGTCTGTGGGGAAGGCCAGGCAATGGCAGGTCTTAATGGCTCCACAGAGAGCTCTAATTGCAGCCAGGATTGATGACCAGCTGCTGGCCTTGAAGATGACCTTCAGTCTCCTCAGAACTATAGACAAGGCCTCTCCCCATCTGCAGCCAGCGCCCTATCACCTTCTGTAACTCTGGGCATTTGCAAATGTTTCACCTCTGCCTGAAAAACTCCTCCTCATCCTTTGACACTCAGCTCACTTGAAACCTCTCAGAAGGTTTCCTAACTGAATATACTGTGGGACTAAATTTGTGCAGTCCTCACAACGATCTGATGAGGTAAAGTTTTGTGGTTTTTTTCAGAAGTGAAAATTTGAGAATCAGAGAAATTAAATATTGTGCCATAAGTCACACAAGCTACTAGGCAGCAGAACCAGGATTCAAGCCATGCTACCATAGCAAACTTGTACCACACAGCCTAAAGTCACTATAATGATGTTTTAGTAGTCTAAAGAGAGGTCTGCTGTTTTGTAAATATCGGTTACCAAGCTGAGGTCTTATGAATTAAGAATTTTAAGGGTTTCTCCACCTCAATATTACAATGATTTCTGAAGCTGTCTTGCTATATAGAAATAAAAGGGGCCATTCATAGCATGGGACATAGAGTTCTCTTGTTCTGTTCTGGGTTTGCTGGATTGTATCTCTGTGATACTTCTTTCCTTCCAATTTTATTTTATTTTTTTACTCTAGGCTCTAGATTATGAACAACTACAAAATGTACAACTTGGTATTGCTGTCAAAAACAAAGCTGAATTTCACCAATCAGTAATTTCTCAGTATCGAGTGCAGTCAACCCCAGTCATGATTCAAGTAGTCAACGTGAAAGAAGGAATTGCATTCCGTCCTGCTTCCAAGACATTTACTGTGCAGAAAGGCATAAGTAGTAAAAAACTGGTCAATTATGTTCTGGGAACATATCCAGCTATTGATGAGGACACTAACAAAGCTGCCTCATATGTCAAGTAAGACTGTTTTTATATTATTCCTTGATGTGGTTTTAATTTATAAGCTACTACAAAATAATACCTAAACTATTATATGCCATGAATACAAAGAGACACAAAGTGGCCAACTCAAGGAACTGTCTAACTCAAGAAGAGACTTACAGCCAAATCACTGGAAGATAACCTAAGCATAAGTTAAAGTGAAAACTAAGAGAAGAATGCCTTAGCCTATGGAGAGAAATCAGGAAAAGATCTCACAGAAACTTTCAGTTGAGTTTAAAAAGAGTAGTTCAGCAGAAGACCAATCAGATAAAACAGCATATACAAAACATATATGCCCCAAAACATAAGAACACCATGCAATGTAGACGCTGTAAGAGCAAGAAAACAATTATTTTATAGCACAAAGTAGAAAATTGAAAAACCAGGCTAATACTTAAGGATTATGAAATACTGCTTGTCCATGCTAATATGCTAATTTTCTGACATTGTTTATAAGAGTATATTTTGATGTCTTAAATTAACTATAAATACATTAAATATAAAATGAGTTATTTTCATTAAATAGGTAAACATTCCATATTTGAAAGAAAACAACTTTTTCTGTCATAAAACAGGTATATCATGGGACGTAATGATGGTGGTTTACTATTCATTGATTCAAAAACTGCTCAAATCAAATTTGTCAAAAACATCGATCGGGATTCTACTTTCATAGTTAACAAGACAATCACAGCTGAGGTTCTGGCCATAGATGGTAAGAAAAACATTTCAAAATGGGGTGTCTGGCTGGCTCACTCAGTAGAGCATGCAACTCTTGATCTTGGGGCCGTGAGTTCGAGTCCCACACTGGGCATAGAGATTACTTAAAAAATAAAAATCTTAGGGGTGCCTGGGTGGCTCAGTTGGTTGGGCATCTGCTTTCGGCTCAGGTCATGATCCCAGGTCCTGGGATCAAGCCCCACATAGGGCTCCCTGCGGGGAGAAGCCTGCATCTCCCTCTCCCTCTGCCTGTCACTCCCCCTTCTTGTTCTCTCTTTCTCTGTCAAATAAATAAATAAATAAATAAATATCTTTAAAAATATACTTCTATCGTTTTTAGAGAAATGTTAACTCCAATTGGCATTTCTTTATGAATAGATGATTTTGATTATTTAACATATTACCTTTATCACTACATAAAGACTTATCTTGGGGCCTTGGGTCTCAAATCTGAGGCAGCTGAACCCAGAAGACTGAGCATTCCAACTTTTCATGGAGTTTGTAGTACCAGTGATTCTGTGTTCAGTCCCTGTGGTCTGCTGTGTTGAGGCAGAAATTTTGAGACCCACAGGAATTTCTGTGTTTGAGGGGATGGATAAAAATTGATAGAGAAGGCCTGTCAGGAAAGCTCAACTCAAATGTGAGGTGCCTTGGTGAGTTACTTATAAAGTGAGTCACTTACAGAGACCTCATGTGACCAGACCACTGAACAATAAAATCTTCTGGAATGTTTCAAAAATAATATTCATTGGGTACTTTGTGTTTCATCAAGTATAAATTAATTTATGCTCAAGCAATAAGTAAACAAGAAAATAAAACAAAAGAATAAAAACCAAAAATCATATCACCTGGGAAAAGAGCAAAAAGCACTAAGGGAAACAACAGAAAGTATTCATAATCTTATCACTGAGAAATTTTTACTTTATTGCTTTATTGTTTTTGATTGTCAACATTGAAAAAATTTTCTTCAGTAAACTTTTGTATCTTGGATAGTAAAAATCAGTCATTGTTTATTCCAAATACTTTAGCTCAAGCTTTAGAAGAAAAAATCTTTCACACAGTGCGGGGTTCACACAGTAGGATACATTTAAGAAAACTATTGTTTTTATGTTGATTTCATTTGTAATCAGTGAATTCATCACCTTACAGGTCTTGGTTCCAAGCATATTAAACTAATAGCCAATGCTACTAATTAGAGATACCAGCCAAGTTGGCAAATTTAAATTTGCTTTTTACAAGATGTGGAAATTAAATGACATCTTTTTACTTGTAAGAATAATGAATATAATTTCTCATGAGAAGACACACTAAGTTGGCTGCATGCAAGAGACATTTATTTTTTTTAAGATTTTATTTATTGGGTGCCTGGGTGGCTCAGTTGGTTAGGCGACTGCCTTCGGCTCAGGTCATGATCCTGGAGTCCCGGGATCGAGTCCCACATCGGGCTCCCTGCTCGGCAGGGAGTCTGCTTCTCCCTCTGACCCTCTTCCCTCTCATGCTCTCTATCTCTCGTTCTCTCTCTCTCAAATAAATAAATAAAATCTTTAAAAAAAAAAAAGATTTTATTTATTTATTTGACAGAGAGAAACACAGCGAGAGAGGGAACACAAGCAGGGGGAGTGGGAGAGGGAGAAGCAGGCTTCCCACCAAGCAGGGAGCCCAATGCGGGGCCCGATCCCAGGACCCTGGGATCATGACCTGAGCCGAAGGCAGACACTTAACGACTGAGCCACCCAGGCGCCCATGCAAGAGACATTTAAAAGGTTTTTTGGGGGTACAACATATTCCGTATATTTCTTTAATTCTAAAATGTTATTCTTACAGAAAACACAGGTAAAACTTCTACAGGCACCGTATATGTTGAAGTACCTGGTTTTAATGAAAATTGTCCGACAATCGTCCTTGAAAAGAAAACAATTTGTAGTTCACAACCTTCTGTGGTAGTCTCAGCTAGAGCACTAGACAATAAATATACTGGCCCCTACACATTTTCTCTGGAGGAGCAACCGCTAAAATTGCCAGTTGTATGGAGTATCACAACACTCAATGGTGAGTAACGGTAAACTTGCTTCCGTAAATGAAAAAGTTGCTGCTTCTTTATACTTCCAGAGGGATAAAAGGACTCATTTGGGAACAAGTCTCTTCCAAGAATAATTGAAAAAACTCTTGCAATGAAGATGTGGTCCTAGCCTCATGAATTTCTTCTCTCTTCAGAAGAGGAATGATATGATATGTTTGTACTATTTAATATTTTGTTTTTTATGTGCAATCTAATTGTTTTGTATTTTTAATGTCTTATTTCTACCTCCACAACACACCATAAAAAGAATAGAGTCAGCGACCAATTTTATTGCAGAGCTGTTTAAATTTCTAAATATATAAACTTTTCCTAACTGGGCAGACTGTGAACGGATATGAAGTACTGGATGGGTTGCCCGCTCAAGGCTCATAGGAAGTGGTACTTAGTCTGTCACTAGTTAGGAATCTTGACAGCATGGCGGACTAAAATTCCCATTAGCCCATTAGCCAGTGGGAAAGAGTTCATCCATCCTTCCTTTTCTTCTAACCTTTATCATGCTAATTTTACATGTTTTATGTTTTCTAGTAGTCTCCTAGAAATAGCCATTGGACTTAATAAGAATCTTCTCATATTTCTCTGGTTCTTTGTTGAACCAATCTTGCTTCCCTCCATGAATGTGTTCTATGGTTCCCTAGTCATAGGTATCAGCCATTGCTAGAGTCACCAAAGGGATCTTGTTCTCCATGGCCTTCTTTCTGAGGGCCTTATTGATCTTGGTGTTAAGTCCCTAGTTCCAAAGTATTCATGTAGCTTTTGGATTCAAATGGGTTTACCAGCACATGCACAATGAAAAGGCTGCAAAAGAAACACTAGAAAGAGACAGGACCCAGCACTAGACATACCTGCTTGAGTGAGGCTGGACAAGGCAACAGTGGTTGGACTGAGTGCATAAGGCATAATATCAAAGGGCAGGGTCAAGAGTGATTCAGTTGACACAACTCTGCAGCTTACAAGAACTGTTACTGGAGTCCACTTAGAAAGGCACAACATAGCAATGGAGAATGATCAATGTTCATGAGTTAGATAGGCAACAGGCCCTCACCTCAGAGAATCCCATACAACTGGCTTTTGAGCACATGGAATGAACACTATCAACAACAGCTGAGGTAGTGGAAGCCAACTAGAAGTTCAGTCTTGATAAGTCAAGCACAAAAACATGGATTCAGAGGGAAGGCATACGTCCAGAGGGCCACACAGAGTCCAGGGAGTTGGCGCAGACATAGAAGAGATTGGTTAAGCCCCAGGAGAGGGGGGGCCCTGATATTGAAATGTTACCTGCCTCCCATCATCCTTCAGGGGAAAAATCAGGGTAGTAGTGAGTCTTCATGGGAAGCAATAACAGGCTCATCTGGGGCAGAAAGAAGGACAAGGAGGAAGTGCAACCTGGTTTACCCAACTGAACCCCTTATCACTCTTAGAACTGCTCCAACCTCACCTTACTATCAGCCTCCCTATCTGTGACAATGATGCTTAAGGCAACCCTGGGTCTGTTAACAAAAATAAGTAGTTTTAAGAGCAAAAGACACCTTGTCCTGCTGTTGATTTGTGTGACTGTTTGTCTTCAGCTACTTCCGCACTCCTAAATGCCCCACAGCTGCTATCTCTTGGAACGCACAACATCGCCCTCACTGTTACTGACAGTCAGGACAGACAGTGCGAGACACCAGAGAGCCTGACTCTGGAAGTCTGCCAGTGTGACAACAGGGACACCTGTAGAACTCCCAGTAATAATGAAGACCCTGATCGCATAGGTGGAAAGAGATCATCAGTGAGGCTGGGGCCTGCCGCCATCGGCCTGCTACTCCTTGGTCTTTTGCTGTTGCTCTGTGAGTATGCCAAACCTAACTTCTGTTTCTGATGGGAAATCAGCCTTTGCGGAGGCCTTCAGGGGATGCTATCTCTGCAATGTACAACCATCCCTTAACTGTGTTATGGGCAAAGGTGGGGGTAACATTTTCAGGAAAAACTGGAAATGTTGAAAGTTAATGTGTCACTTGCCAGCAATCTATATTCATAATACAACAAAGCAAGTCATATATATGTTAGACGGAAGACAGCACAGGAGAATCAACAAGAAAAAAGTTAAAGCATGAACACTTTCTACACACTACCAGTAATGTTCATCATCAAAATAATGCCTTTACCCATAAAGAAGTCCATAGACATAAAATAGAAAAAGAACCCCTGCCAAATAAATCTAGGGGAAAATATAAAGGATATATAGGCTTTGAGCTTTATAATGAACATTAATATATCATAGGCTCTGAAAAGTTATTGCTTAATCCAGCACTTTCTGAAAATAGCTGACCACTATATATACACCCTCTTAAAGGCTTTCACTTAATAAGATTAAGCTTACTGAACACATTTAGGGAAACTACACACATATTGTATTTTTCAGTAAAAGTAAAATTTATTCAATGGATAAATTTCTAAAAAGTTTCAATTAAATTAAAATCTTGTGAATCAAATAGTATTTTTAATGTAATAGGTCTCTATTTAAAGGAAATTCATGGCAAATTCTTATATAAATAAGAAAAATCCTTGATAAATTCACATTCATTTCCCAAATTTATTATAGAACTATAGGCTTTTAGAATTAAAATGATTGTTCATGATAAACAAGTCTACTCCAGCCCCTTCACTTAATTTTTTTTTTAATTTGGGAAATATTTTTAAACCACAAAGTGCAGAAAATTACATGACAAGCACACACATAACCATCACTCAGATTTAACAGATCTTAATATTTGCCATATCTTTTCAGATCTCTTTTTTTAAAAAAGAAGTTGATATCCATACATCTAGTGGCCTCCCACACATGCCATATATTCTTCTTCTGCCTTCCCCAAAAGTGTTTACTATTCTGCAGTTAACATACATCATTCCATTTCACAGCTTGAAATCGACTCACCTTTCAGTTTTTCAATATCATATTAGTCAATATTAAAACCAAAAGATTTTTCAAGTACATAGATATGAGTCTTGACACAAGCAGCCAGCTGGGAAGGGAACCTGATTCTGGTTTTCACATAGTTCACAGACTTATGCGTGTCTAACTCTATGGAAAAAAAAACTATACCATGATGCAGCTATAATAGAAATGAATACAAAGTGGTATTATGGAGACTTTGTGAAGTAAGAGAATCAATCATCAATTTGAGCCTTGGAAAATGAGTAGGATATAGAAAGCACAAAAAAAGAGAAATGTGTTGCCAAAGGGTAACAGCATGAGCCAAACCCAGAAAATGCTTTGCATGCTTTAGGAATCACACCTCCCTGCTAATGCAGGGAGATTGTGGACAGTCAAGGAGATGAAACTGGAGAATGCACTGGTACCAATTTGAAAGGACTTACGTACATATGTTATGGTATTTGTGCTTTAAGCTCTGAGAAAAAAGAGTTGCTGAAAGTATCTAAATAAAAGCCTCCCATGTTCATATTTGTGTTTTAGAAAGATAACATCGGCAGCGCTGTGTACTGTAAATCAGAAAGGAAATAACAGTTAGGAGGTTATTCTACTAGTTTTAAAGAGAGATAAAAGCCAAATTTAGACATGAGACGAAAGGAATTGATAAGTGTGTGAGGCATTACATGGAGAAAATTTGGAGACTAAGGAATATGAAGAGTGGATAAGAAATCCAGATGAACCATTCAATTCCGTTGTCACTTAAACCATTAAATGAAATTGAAAACATTAGATGAAGCACAGATACACAGGTGGCAGTGATGAGTTTCATTTTGAAATACTGACTTTTAGGGTGTAGATATATCCCAGAGGCAAGCCATTGTACATTTGGGATTTTGGCTCAGGATGGCAATCAGAGAAAGTACACCATATTATTCCCACAATCATATTTGCTTCCTGTGCTCCTACCATTTGAAAACATGCCATGTTTTGATTTTTGTACAGGATAAAACATACATTTTTCAGTCTGTAGAAATGCACTCAACACTTCGAAAAACTTTTTCTGGATACATATATAAAAACCAAATATATATTGCAGATAACTATGATAAGCAAGATCTCTAAAAGACAATTTATGCCCACCTAAAAATACTCACTATTCAGGTGTACATCCATCACCTTAAAAACTAATTTGTCAACTAACAATATTCAATTCTTCCCACACACTTAACAAAGTCATAGAATTAAGAATGGCAATAAATAAAAAAAAGCTTGTAGAAGTGGACGCCTGGGTGGCTCAGTTGGTTAAGCAACTGCCTTCAGCTCAGGTCATGATCCTGGAGTCCCGGGATCAAATCCCACATAGGGCTTCCTGCTCAGTGGGGAGTCTGCTTCTCCCTCTGACCCTCCCCCCTCTCATGCTCTCTATCTCATTCTCTCTCTCAAATAAATGAATAAAATCTTTTTTAAAAAAAGCCTGTAGATGTATCATTTATACAAATATTATATTAAATTTTAAGAAAATACATCAATTATGTCCAACCTATTTTATTTATAATATAGGACCAACCTAATTTGCCTTACTGATGTAGCCCTTCCAGAAAATACTAGCAAATCCTCATAGCACTCACTAGTATCCTTTACTTATACTGCTAACTCATTTAATCCTCACAACTACTTGTCATGTAGATAATGTTTATTCTCCCATTCTCTGTATGAGTTACTAGAGGCAAGAAAGATGATAAAACTTACCCAGCTGGTGAGAGGTGGAGCCAAAGTTCAAACCCTACAAGCCCTCACTAGACTACCTCTAGGTGGACAGAATTCAAACCTGAGGATTCAATAGACCTTGAGAGGCCAGAGGTGGGGGTGGGGTCACTAACTACTTAGCCTTCCAGAACTTCCTTCCGAGAGAGAGAGAGAGAGAGAGAGAGAGAGAGAGAGTTTAGTATTTAGCTCTTGGTCCATTAGCATGAGAATGATGTTAATTTAAAGATTGCTGAGATGTGACAGATATGCACACAAAGAATGAAAATTACCCTGACAGGAAAGCCCCTCCAAGCTAGGGATTCTTAAATCACAATTAAGGTGCAATGGTATTAGCTCATCACTCTAGTTGCTGAGGGAGTTTGCTGGTTAATTGCTGTTTACTAACAGATGAGTAGAGTCCAGATTACAGAAACATTATCCTGCCCACCTAAAATCCTGACCATCCAGGTGTGTATTCACCTGACATAATATGCATTGCCTCACAATGTACAAATAAATGCAATAATATATATTACATTTATATTATTTTATTATATACAGTAATATATATTACAGAAAAGGATTGAGGAACTGAACAACTGAACAACAATCTTTATCATTCATCAAACTATTTTAAGAAAATATACATATCACAAGAATGATCAGATCAGCCTCCTCCAGTTTCATAATTGTATGAAATTTTAGGATGCTTAGTTTACATTTTATTTTGTAGAAGCTAATTTTGCTTTCTATTAGATTGTCCATGAGTCCTGAAAATACTGTATTTTCTTCCTAATGTTTCAGACAATTGTCATGTCGCATTGTTTCCAAATGATTCAAATGTTCCGATATTTTATTTTCCTTTATAACTAGTGGCCCCCCTTCTGCTGCTGACCTGTGACTGCGGGGTGGGTCCTCTCGGGGGAGTGACAGGAGGATTTATCCCAGTTCCTGATGGTTCAGAAGGAACAATTCATCAGTGGGGAATCGAAGGAGCCCATCCTGAAGACAAGGTGAGGACCAGTTTCTAAAACATTTACCTCAGTCATATAGAGCAAAATTAGATTTATATTCAGATAGGAAATGGGGTAATGCGGTATAAAAATAAGACACTCCTTAACCTTTAAAGACCTTTGTGAGTCAGTAGTGAAATAAATGGAGCCTTTTAGAATCATAGCTCTTCAGATGTCTAATCATAAAAATGGTTACTCCTGCAAGAATTTGGCCTTCTCCTAAAGTTACCTTTTGCAAAGAGCTACATTTCACCCATAGTACCAAGAAATCTGGTTCATTTTAAATATATTTATTTTTTGAACATGGTTTGCAGGAAATCACAAATATTCGCGTGCCACCTATCACTGCCAATGGAGCCGATTTCATGGAAAATTCTGGTAAGTGAACATCAAATGGATTTTTGAAGGCAATACTGGGTTAAATAAGAAATACTGAAAAATAATAAGTGTTCTAAATCATTCTCTTAATAATTGGCATATATGTACACATGCTGGGAGATGTTACCACTGAAACAGGGTTTCAATGAAATGATTTACTATTAGTATATTAGTCAATTCCAGAGCCAAGCTTGGGTTTCAGTAAGTTCATTGAAATTCATTGCCCACTGATGCCACCATTTTTAATACCCAAAGATTTATTATACACTTTCCAAACTTTAATAAACTGAAGTATATAGCTCTCAGTCAATTACTAATTTTTTAATTAGAAAAGATTTCACACATGTAGAAAAATGTAAAGGAAGATATCCCAAATACTGTGTACCTACCACTCAACTTTAACTATTCTTAACTTTGGTAATATTTGCAGTTAAACCTCATGGGTGCACATCCTCGATCTTACTGCCCTTCTTCCCTCCCCAGAACTAACAATACCCTAATTTGAGTTCAATTACCAATTTTAATTCAGTCATAATGGGACAAGATTGTTTATGTTCTCAAATAGGTGAAATTATTTATTTCTTTGGTTTGCCAAAGGACTGTTTGATTCATATTTCTCAGTGCCACAGTTAAAGCATGAACTAGAGAAACAATAAGACCTAATGCCTAATATTAAGATTTATATTAATTCCATACTTAGCAATAGATTGTTTTTAAATGTCTAGCCTGCAAAATCTGCATGAGATCACCCCAAAATGTCTGCCTTTATCAGCTACCCCATCCTCACCTGCTTTTTCCATTATAATTACATCGCAAAAACTATATTCAGAATTCTCTAAAAAAAAATTAACTTTCCACGAAAGTGTAATGTAAAGGTAATAGGGAGAGTAGTCATAACTCTTTAAATTTTCTTCAGGCACCAAGACACTAAATTAGCATCTGCTCATTTGCATGATTACATTATGTATGTTTCCTCTTTGGTTTCCATATTGAAAGCAATATGATAGCTTAATTTTAGTTTCTTTTTTCCTGAAAACAAATAAGCATTGCACTAGAAGCTTTCCGCGGCTGTGTGCTGAATATTCTGTTTCTACTTTTCTATTTCTGGCTGTTGTCACTGAAAATCTATTTCCTGTGTATATTTTTTAATTTGTATGTTTCCAGAGCTATTCCATCTGCTAAGATCCTCTGTTACAGCCTCATCTGCTCTGTTACTCTCTCATAACAGATCATAGGATGTTTTTATTATCGCCAGTCATATAATTGTAATTTCTCCCACTTATCTGCTCTACTTGGTGTTTACCCATCGATATCAAAAAACAGTAAAAAAAAAAAAAATTACAACATAAGATGCTACAGAATTTTCTCCCCTGTTTTTAGAAGTTTGTACAAATACATATGCTGGAGGGACAGTGGTGGAAGGAGCCTCGGGAATGGAACTGACCACCAAGCTTGGAGCAGCTACAGGATCTGGAGCTGCTGCAGGATTTGGAGCAGCCACTGGACTTGGCATTGGTTCTGCAGGACAGTCCGGAACGATGAGAACAAGGCATTCCACTGGAGGAACCATTAAAGACTATGGTGAAGGAGCAGTAAGCATGAATTTCCTGGACTCCTATTTTTCTCAGGTAATTTGGTGGAAAGCTCTGTGGCTTTGTTATCTTGTGTACATTAGAGATCTTTTTACTTGACTACACTTCAGTTTTGCAATTCGTTGTTGTTGTTGTACTTACAGCTTCTTAAAATATAAGAAAAAATTAGGGTTCTTTGACGAAATAATGCAGATAACCTAAGATGGCTGCCAAAACTGGGCTACTAGTCAAAAGGAAAAATGGTAGATAGACACAAAGGGAGATAATATAGCAAATGGAACCTCCTCCTTCTGGCTGAAATAACAATGGAAAGCAAAATCTTTTGCGGGTCAGGATCAGCAGCATCCTCTTTAGAAATACAAAGCAGCTTATTTTGTGTTTCCTATACCATAAAGTATGTCAAATGTGTATGTTTTTCTGAGACAGGGTTATAGTACTCTTCACATTTTCAAAGGAGTCCATGTCCAAAATGCTGAAGAACCATTTAATTAATTACCCAAAAATAAAAGTGGGGAGAAAAGGGATGTGATCAAAGATCAGATGAAGTGTCAGGAAGCAGAGAACTGAAAGGAACAAGGGTTTAAGAAGAGAAGACTTTAGGGCGCCTGGGTGGCTCAGTTGGTTAAGCAACTGCCTTCGGCTCAGGTCATGATCCTGGAGTTCCAGGATCAAGTCCCGCATCGGGCTCCCTGCTCAGCAGGGAGTCTGCTTCTTCCTCTGACCCTCCCTCCTCTCATGTGCTCTCTCTCTCAAATAAATAAAATCTTTAAAAAAAAAAAAGAAGAAGAGAAGACTTTAAGAGGCAGGTCTTGCCTCATGGTTGGTGCATCATTAGAACAGATTTCATACTGAGTTTTGGTATCAGAGCCGGTAAGTTCCAGGATTGAACCTGTTGCTGAGAAGGTGGAGCCTCACATTGACTGGCAGGGAAAGCCTGTTTGGGATGAGGACTCTTGGGATATTCTGAGGTGTGGTGTGGGCCTTAGTTATGGGTCAGGCTCCCGCATGGGTTGGGGAGTATAGGCAAAGGCCCCAGACTGGCTGAGAGCTGGTTTAGATGGTGCAAGTGGGATGCCTGCCTCCTACCCACAAACACAAAGACAAGCATAAACACAAGCACACACAGGGACCCCCACACTTGGCCCAGTGAATAACCTCCTAGCTTTGAACACATTGGTTTTGTAGGTCTAAATCCATGTAAGTGCCCTTAAAACCCAGACTTAAAACATGAGCGTAGGCCGGACTCAGTTTTGAAGGAATGTCTACTACACTGTTCTCCAAACACCCGATAATTTGTGTAACAAGATTATTCATATACATATTCATATTCATATTATATACATATACAGAGTATGCCTTTACTTCTATGGATTACCTAAATTATGCATTCGTGATCAATCCTCGAGTTCTATGAACAGTATTGTATTCTTCAACCAAGACTCTTCTAAATTCATTTTTTCCACTTTTCTCCATCTTTAGAAAGCATTTGCCTGTGCAGAAGAAGACGATGCCCAGGAAGCAAATGACTGCTTGCTGATCTATGATAATGAAGGAATGGGTGCTCCCAGTTCTCCCGTGGGCTCCTTGGGTTGTTGCAGTTTTATTGCCGATGAGCTGGATGACAGCTTCCTGGACTCGCTCGGCCCCAAATTTAAAAAACTTGCAGAGATAAGCCTCGGGATCGATGATGAAGCCAAACAATCTCAGCCACCATCCAAAGACAGCCATTTTGGGATTGAATCCTGTGGCTATTCCCTAGGAGTCCAACAGCCAGAATCTGTTAGGGGCCAGCCTTTGTCAGGCAATCAAGGAACTTCTGCTTTGTCTGCTTCTGGCTCTCTTCTCCAACCAGCCATTTCCATCCCTGACCCTTTGCAGCATGGTAGTTATTTGGTAACAGAGACTTACTCGGCCTCTGGTTCTCTCGTGCAACCTTCTACTACAGTCTCTGAGCCACTTCTCACGCAAAATGTAATAGTGACAGAAAGGGTGATTTGTCCCATTTCCAATGCTCCTGGCAACCTACAAACTCCAATGGAGCTACGGGGGTCACATAATAGGATCTGTACAGAAGATCCTTGTTCCCATCTAATATGACCAGAATGAACTGGAATAATATATTGGTTGAATATAATTATTTGGACCAAATTGTTCAAAGGAGCATAAAAAAGCTCACAGTACTGGTCTAATTGGGCACTTATTTGGTACTCTCCTAAACTGAGCTTGATTCTTTTAAATTTTCTAGTTGATATCCCCAAACTGGATATGTTGTACCTCTCACTTCTCAAATACCATTCAAGTGGTAGTAAATCTTGATGTTTTTCAAAAAAAAAAAAAAATCTTAAGATCATATCCAGTGGGAAATTTTCAATTAGTAATTAACAACTTTAAAACTTCTCTTTTTGCAGTACCAAAGAAAGGTATTTGTCACTTTAAATAAAATGCAGCGTGTTTTAGTGGATTAAGCACTTGGAGTCAAGAGCCCCAGTTCTTGTCTCTGTCACCTTTTCTTATGTCACTAATAATGATGTAAGAGTCATAAGGTCTTTGCTAAAGCATTTTGAGCTGCTTAGAAAAAGGAAGTAGTTGCAGCTGAGTTTTTGCCATCTTCTTGGTGTTGGGAGACCCTAAGTGCATCTTTTGCACAAGTTAAGGGCTATTGGCTTATGCATTAACCTTGCTATATCTATATTCCTCAATTCTCAAAATAAGACAATTTGATAAGGAAATATCATAGAACATTTAGGAAAGTTTAGTATGGTGTAAATAATATTTTGTATTTTTCTAAATTACTTTGAAAGGATCTATCCGAAGAAAATATCCTACACTGAGCTCCTTCCTACACACTTCTCAGTACAAATTCTGTGTTAATAGTTCTCAAAAATTACTCTCTATTTTTTAAATGTCAGTGGGTAGATGTAACTTGCATATGACATATAGTGATGTTTATTATGCTAACAATGTCTACAGACTTTTGTGAGAATACAAAACCTGGTTTTTCTCATAAGAAAAAGAGGCCTCTGACTAGATTAACATATGGTGACATTTTTGAATATGTATTAGAGCCACATGTCAAGTCAAAAAGGGAGATGGAAAGGGATTATCAGTAACCTCTATTATTTTATTAAGCCTCACTCCTTTGAAACAGCTACAGCAACTTAATTCTCTAGCATAACAATGAAGATTCCGAATTTATTACTTCATGCATGTTGCCCTAATAGCAATGCAGTTCTTCAAATCATCTGTGGTCATTCATTCCAGACCTTCAGCCTATAGCCCCTAGAGAACACCCTACCTTCTTATCAACATTCTTGTCTTAGCTGAGTCTTTACAAGGTCATTGTCCAGCTCCATTATCTCTAATTGTATATAAAATACTCCTCTCTGTTTTGTTTTGTTATGTTGCCATATTCAAAACCTATTTGTTTTTCCAGATGGAACGCAAAGTAATAAAGTGTGTTTTAACACAGAAGGATAAAAGTCCTAAGGATCCCTGGGGGGGAAGACACCTCCTAAATGTCCCTACATCTAACATCCTTCCCTCTCCCTGGCGCCATGACTACCAGGAAGGTATGTGCTAGGATGGCCAAGAAGTGCAGGCAATCTGTTCTTTCAAGACAAGCCCGCTGTTTCAACAACACCTGCAGTGTGCCCAGCTTGAGGTGAGGGGAATTAGACCCCAGGAAGCAGCTGCCAGGTCCTAAGGAAGTTGCCTTGCTATTACCACTGAGACCTCTCCTCACTGGAAGCTTGCTCTGGGGTCTGGATCACACATGGTTGATTTGTGCCTCTGTGATTCATGAGAATTACATTAATAATCATAATAATCCTTATTTCAAGTTCAAAAGTGTCTTCAGGATCCTCAAAGTATTTTGGCATTGCCTCTAAAAACCCAACTTATCATGAAATGGGAATTTTCTGCCTTACCAAACTACAGAGGAAACTATGTCATCGCAGTAAAGGCTCTGTAAGGGAAAAATTGAAATTAAATGTGTTTTAAAATGAAAATAGATTCATCTTGTCTAGGAGGACCTCACATTGATTTGCCACGTAAAAGTAAATTCAAAGCAAAAATGTATCTGTATTTTTTCACCAAAAATAAAAAGTGTTTTAAGCAAAAAAAAAGTTTAAAACTGTCTTTTTACTGGATGTATTATAAATTTTAAACAATATACACTAAAACTTTAACAGTGTAACACTGTTGTAATAAAACTGTTTGGCAACAAACTTAGGAGTACTTCTTAACCATTTAGTAAAAGGTGAACTACTCTCTATAATTAATAGTTACTAAGAAATATAAGGTAAGAAACTGACTTACATATGTATTTTTATCAGTATTTTACATTTTTTTCTAGCCGATACCTTTTGTCCATCCTCCCAGGCAGGAAGGAAATACCTGGGGACTCCAGATCTCTTGTTCAGGTGGAATAGTGCTGGATGAGGTGCTAGATGAGGTCAGGGCAGGCTTTTATTAACTAGATGCTTTAACTCATTTATTATTTGTTTGGTAGTTTGGAATGATCTTTCAGGCAAAAGTTCTGACACGCTATGACGCCTCAGAGAGCAAAATTGGAGTAAAGAGAAGGTAAGGTTGTTAGCCTAACATGATGAAAAATGTGCCCCCAGCCTGGGTCTGTCTCCCAGTAAACGCCTTTTTTTTTTTTTACGTCTTCCTTTAAAGGGATGCCACAAAAAGTCCCTTTGGAACTTCAAATCTTGCCTTGGCTGACCTTCCTCATTCTTTAAATTTGGATTTAAACAATTCAACTTGGATCTGCTGTATGAGGAGCAGAAACTGGATTAGAGTGGATATTGAGTGAAGAAAAGTGGGAGGCTTGACTCTGATGTTCCAAATCAACTCCAGGAAAAATGAAGCCCCTCCCTGTAGGTAAATTCCAAAAATATCACCTGATTCTCTGATTTATATAAAGTTTGAAGAATAAAAACAGCAAGATCAATGTACCTTAACTTTCAAAAATCAAGGAAGAGTGTGAAAAAAACACACTCAACTGACAAGCTTCAATGCAACTAACGATTAAGAAGCAAGTAAACGTTAAGGATCTTCCCTTCTTGTTTTTGGCAATTCAGCTTTTTCTGCACTCCTTTACTGGGTCTACAAAAAGTAACTCTGAATCAGAGATTATATGGTTTGATACTTGTTCGACAGCACAGTCTGAGATCATTTTTAAGTAAGGGGGATAACTGATAAAGAAAGGAAGATAACTGATTTCCAGGTGCCAGAAGCAACACGTTTTCCACAGTGAATACTGAGATTCCTTCTGCTCTGCCTGATCCCTCGGTGACAAAGACATGGACCCTTCAAGGTTGGTGCCTTTACTTGCTTTTTCTTTTATACATAGGCCTTCTTTTTAACAAATGCAAAACAGAAAAATCTAAACACAATGGAGATACAATTAAAACTCAAGAAAATGATGGTCTAAAAGAACAAGTGCAAATGGATACAGTTACCAGAGCAGGAAGAAACTAGACACTGGTAAAGCCCTACCAGGTGGCCAAGACAGTTCGCTACATATTCTTATTTAATTCTTACAGTAACCCTGATTATAGTCAGGAAAACAGAGACCCAAAGAAGCAAATTACTCCCTCAAGGTCATTCAGTAAAGTGACACAAATGTAAAGGTTTATCTATAGTTATTCAGTAATAATAATACATATTATTACTCTGTCAAAATAATCTGCTTGCTTTCAGCTCTAAGACTTGAGTAGAGCATGAAAAATTGGAAGAAATACAAAGAAAACAATGAGAATAATTTTTAAAAGACTAGAAATCTAGATATAATTCTAAAGATTCAAGAAGCAGTACATTGTAGGCAAATATATCTATTTGGGCATAGAGGACAGGGCAATCTATATATTTCTATATATAGCTAGGATTAGGAGATACAGATAAAAAGGTAGAGACAGAGGAATAGATAGAAAGAATGCAAATATATGATTTGCTGCTATTTTGAAGTATATGTGAGGTTATTTTTCAGGGCACAATGGCATCTCTTTCACATTTAATAAGAAAAACAAACTACCTGAAAGTCATGGAATCTCTTTTCTGGTAAACTCCTGAAGGATTACTTTGATAGCACACTATGTAAAAGAAGTTATGTGTGACATGTAGCTAGATATAAAAATAACTTTATATAGAGAGATTTTGATTCAATATTAATATATATTGTGAAATGATCACCACAGTAAGTCTAGGTAACATCCATCACCATAGATACAAAAAAATTTTTTTCATGTGATAAGTACTTGTAATATCTACCTCTTCACAACTTTCAAATATGCAATTCAGTATTATTAACTACAGTGACCGTGTTGTACATCATATCCCCATGACTTATTTATAACTGTAAGTTTGTACCTTTTGACCCCTTTCCCCCATTTTCCCCAGCTCCCATGCCCCACCTTTGGCAATCACCAGTCTGTTCTCTGTATCTAAGACCCTGCTTTTTGTTTTATTCCATTTCATATTTTTTAAATGGGTCTTTCCACCTCAGTGTTTTCATGATTTGTGGAAAACAACACATTTGAACAACTACACTATTTTACTCCTCAACACTATCTCCCTCTCCACTTTTATTCCATGAAGTGCCATCATATTTTTAAATTTATGCCTTGGAACATCTCTGATGTTTTCTGTGTGCTGAATTTGTCCTTATTAAATTAGCAAACAGTAAAAGTTGTGTGAAAACACAGAGCGGCAAATTCTAATATAAGCAAAACACTGAGATTGAAAGAATATGTATGTCCTCATTTCTTCAGAAGGCAGAGGAAGTATTTATATTCTTTCATAACCAAGAGAGGATTGCAAAAAACTCTCTTAATTATAAAAGCAGCACAGAATCAGGTAATCTTGTATTTATTTAAACGGGATAATGATATGGTTTCTACTCCTGCAAAAAGGCATTGTCACTAAGTCAAAAATGAGTATTTAAACACAAAAAGTGAGATTAACTTCAGTCATGTCTTCCCATGTCCAACTGACTATGTTGATAGTAAGATTTTTGTGGTCCTAACCTGGAGGTAAAACGCACACACACGCACATGCGTGTGTGCGCCTCAGGTAAGCAAGTAGCTTGGTGTAGCTGAAGGAGTGTCTTTCCTTCTTCAGACACTTCATGGACCAGACACTGATGCTTGGTTTATGTTGCAGATACAAAGTTTCTGCATGCAGAGTCTGCTCTCTAGATTTATTATTAAAAAGAACAGACTCACCTAAATTTTCTACCCAACTTTCTTCAGTAAGGCATAATGAAAAGACCTTGTTTGACCAAACTCTTTATTCTCATCCAGGGCTGACATCCACAA